CACGCCTTAGGGTTGATCTAGTTGACGCTGTCCAGAAACATGACGTTCAACATCATCAAAGAGAAGACGACATCGAGTCTATTGAAGGTGTTGTAAAATATGTATGAAAATCCGTCGGATATGAACAAGATGTATTTGATGCAGAGGTTGTTCAATCTACAAATGTCTGAAGATAGATTTGTTGTAGATCATATAAATTAGTTCAACATGATTGTAAGTCATCTTTACCCGAGTCGTAGTATACTGTTGTTGCTGCAATCAACAGTTCATGAGTATCTGATAAACTGAAGTTTGATGAAATTCGAGATGTCAATGAAAGTATTCCCAAATGGGAAATTGGAGACTCATCAGGCAATGCTCTTAGTGTTGATTGAAGGGAAATAAGTAAATCAAAGAGTCCAAACAAATATGGGCGATCAAAATCAAGGAACCGAGAAAAATCTCCAAACAAACCAAACGTAAGGTGTTGCAATTATGGAGAAAAATGACACTTTTGAACAAATTGTACAAAATTGAAGAAAAACAAAATCATAAATTTGAAGATGACAATAATTCTATATATTCAGCAGAAGATACAAAAGAACACTCTAATTCTTAGCGTGAACAACCTAATTGAATTATGGATTTTAGATTCAGTTGCATCAATTTTAAGTAAGGAATTGTTTCAAAATTTCAAATAAGGAAATTTTGGGAAGGTGTATCTTGCCAACAACAAAATCTTGGAGATTGAAGGGAAGAAAGATGTTTGTATACAAACTCTAGCCGGAAATGAGTGGACATTATAGGATGTCAGATATATTTCTAATCTCAAGGAGAATCTGATCTCTATTGGTTAGTTGGATAGAACAAGTTATGCAGCCGAGTTTTGAAAGAGTTTGGGGAAGATTGTGAAGGGTGTCATGGTGGTAGCATGACACAAAATCTGGAACCCCATACACTACTCTTAGCAACAACAACCATATTTATACACCCTACAGTAGTGTCAAAAGACTTGCACATACGAGCGTCAAAGAAATGAAAATGATGGCTGCGAAGGGAGTTTTAGAAGGCCTAAAATCTGTTGATATGAGTGTTTGTGAGAGCTACGTTATGGAAAAATATAAACAAGTTAGCTTCACAAAGGCTACCAGAGAATAAAGAAAGTACGATTAGAAATGGTCCATATAGACGTTTGGGGACCATCTCCAGTTTCATCATTTATAGTACCAAAATTACATGGGTTAGATGTCACGTACTCTGCAGCGACAACTCTCTATTTTCCTAAGGCTATTAAGATATCTCACGACCACTCTTTTCCTCCTCACCATATCTAGACACCATAACTTTAATCCAGTATTGTCTTATATGGTCAACATTCATTCTTTAATGTCCAAGGACATTTTATAACTACCACGAAACTCAAAACGTACAATAAATTCATACAAGTTTTACAATATATCATATATTTTAAAAATAGGGTTAGATTCCTTACTTCATCACGACGAGACGTGTCATCGACCTAAGTCATAGAGATATACGACTCTTTATCCTAAGAAAAAACTATATAATCTAAAATTCTGCTGCTCTGATATCAAACCACTCTTTATTGAACTCTAGTTATATAGTTCTTTTTCGCCCTTTTTTTTCTTTCTTTCTTTTTCCTCTTTATTGAACTCTAATTAGCGATCTTACTGCCCCCTACTTAGGAAAGATCGTTCAAGATGAAAATTTTACCCTAGCATTAATTTTGACTGATTTTCGTATTTTTTTAATATTTTCTTTTATATTTTTAATGAGTTTTTTAAATTTTTGTAACTTTTTTTTCTTCCATATCATATTTAAATTCGGTCTCTAAATCTCTCAAAAAATTCCAAAAAATTTGAACTTAAAATAAAATTTGAGAAATTAATCCTCATTTGAACTCGTGTCACAGCATACCATAACATAATGCATATCAAACACTCACAAAGTACGACAAGTGGAGGGGCTACGGAGCACGCGTTTTTAATACC